CTGCTTAGCTGGCTGGCTGGCTAGCTAGCTGGCTAGCTAGCTAGTTAGCTAGTTAGCTAGCTAGCCACTGCAGCTATCCAGCTAGCTAGCTAGCTAGCTAGCCACTGCAGCTAGCTAGCCACTGCAGCTATCCAGCTAGCTAGCTAGCTAGCTAGCCACTGCAGCTGTCCAGCTAGCTAGCTAACTAGCTAGCCACTGCAGCTAGCTAGCTAGCCAGCCAGCTAGCCAGCTAGCCGTTACAGCTAGCTGGCTCGCTGGGTAGCTATCCACTACAGCTAGCTAGCTAGCTCGCTAGCTAGCCGCTACAGCTAGCTAGCTAGCCCCTGCAGCTGGCTAGCTAGCCACTGCAGCTAGCTAGCTAGCTAGCCTTTACAGCTAGCTAGCTAGCTAGCCACTACCAGCTACCTCGCCACTACCAGCCTTGGCTTAGCTAGCTGGCTAGCTAGCCACAACGAGCTAGCTAGCCCTCACTAGCTACCTAGCTATGCATCATTTGCTGCTGCTGCTGCTGCTGCTGCTTTTTGTTGCTGCAGTTGCTGCTGCACTTGCTGCCTGCCGGCAGCGGGAGCTGGACTTGGAGGCTGCGCTGCGGAACCCGCAAGGCAAGCAGCAAATTAATTTAATTAATTTAATTTAGTTTAATTTAATTATTTGATTAATTATTTAATTCTTTTATTATTTAACTCTCTTATTGTTTAATTCTTTTGTTATTCAGTTCTTTTATTTCGTTTAATTCTTTATTTCGGTAGCTCCCAGCCCTCATCGTGTTGTGCTGCTGCTGCTGCTGCTGCTGCTGCTGTTCAGGGCCCCTCGCCGTCGCGCCTGCTGCAGCTGCTGCGCTGCTGCAGCGGATGAGTTCTGCTGCTGCTGCTTTTGTTCCCCTCTTGGGCTTTTTCGCGGGGGAGACAAAAATCAAAAGAAGCTTCAAGGAAGGCACTTTTGTTGTGAGTCTTTAGCAGCAGCAGCAGCAGCAGCAGCAACGGCAGCAGTAGCTGCTCCCGCTGCAGTGGCAGTGGCAGTAGCTGCTGCTGCTGCTGCTGCAATAGCACTATCAGCGGCAGCTGCAGCAGCTGCTGCTGCAGCACACTCACCTGTATGTAGTTCTAGAGGGAGACCGCAGCAGCAGCAGCAACAGCAGCAGCAGCAGCAGCAGCAGCTTCACTTTCTGTGTGTGTTTAGGGACGCGCGAGAGGCCTCGCAGCAGACCGAAGGGACGGATCTCCTTGGGTCATAATTGACTATGACGTCAGTTGCTGCTGCTGATGCTGTGCTTTTATTTTCTTGCTGCTGCTGCTGCTGCTGCGCTTTTATTTGCTTCTGCTGCGGCCGTTGCTCATTTAATCGCTGCTGGTGCCGCCCTCCTAGTTTCTGCTGGTGCTGCTGCTGCTGCTGCTGCTCTTTTAGTTTCTGCTGCTGCTGCTGTTCTTGATGCCTGCTGCTGCCGCTGCTCTCTTTTTCAGCTGCTGCTGCTCACTTTTCAGTTGCTGCTGATGATACATCTTTCTTGCTGCTGCTTCTGCTTTCTCAGTTGTGCTGCTGCTGGCGTTTTAGTTGCTGCTGTTGCTGCTCTTCTGATTCTCGCTGCGGCTGCTCTGCTGCTGCTCCTCGACGCTGCTGCGGATGCTGCTGCTGCTCAGTCCGTGCTGCTGCTCCGGATTGTTTGTTCATTTATTATTTATTTGTTATTTTATTTATTTATTTATTTAGTTTATTTGTCTATTTAGGACGGAGACGAGGAATGGGTGCCCCCGCGAGTGTTTATGGAGGAGCTGCTGCGGCAGTGCCTTGGCCGGCAGCCGCAGCAGCAGCAGCAGCAGCAGCAGGAGGAAAGCTCCTCCTTTGCTTCTCTTTTTCGATTTGATTTGCTGCCTTTTGTCTCCAGCGATAGAGAGACAAAAAGAAGAAGACAAAAGTTGAACATTCCTTACCCCACTTTTAATTGGGGGGACCAGCCCGCGCTGCTGTTCCGCCAGCAGCAGCAGCAGCAGCACCAGCAGCAGCAGCAGCAGCAGCAGTTGGTGTCTCCAGCGGCGAGGAGCAGGCGGGCAGCAACGCCGGCACACAGGCACACGCCTCCCCCCAGCAGCAGCAGCAGCAGCAGCAGCAGCAGCAGCAGCAGCAGCAGCAGCGGCGTGAGGTCCAGTAAGCGGCTGAGAAGCCGCCGCTGGTCTGATGGCGAAGACTCCACTGGGGGCTCTCGCATCAGCCAAGCAGATGCAGCAGCAGCAGCAGCTGCAGCAGCAGCAGCAGCTGCAGCAGCAGCAGCAGCGGCGCCTGTTGCTGCTGCTTCGTTCCCCAGTAGCAGCAGCAGCAACGGCGGGGAGCAGCAGCAGGATCGCGGTGCGCACGGCGCCTCTGGGCTTCCGGCGTTTTCTCCCGCTGCTGCTGCAGCAGCAGCTCCTGCGGCGGCCGAGCCCTCCCCAGCAGCAGCAGCAACCGCAGCCGCAGCAGCAGCAGCAGCAGCAGCAGCAGCTGCTGCTGCTGCAGCAGCACGGGGCCGCGTCTGGTTTGAAGAGCAGCAGCAAGCCTGGGCTGCTGAAGCTTTGCTGCCAGATGGCTCTTTTTTTAAAAGAGTTTTTTACTGCAAAAGAATGGGCAGGAGGAAGGCGGAGATGCAGGCTCGACGTTTTGCTGCTCTCGATCCTGCTGCTGCTGCTGCTGCAGCAGCGGCGGCCACGGCGCCCCGCACCCGCCAGCAGCACCAGCAGCAGCAGCAGCAGCAGCAGCAGCGCAAGCGAGCCCTCAGGGACACCTACTCCGCCTCCAGCGACGAGTCCGACAGCAGCAACATTTCTTTTGCTTCCGAGGGCCCCTCCGAGGCGTCGGAGGCCCTTCCCAGCAGCAGCAGCAGCAGCAGCAGCAGCAGCAGCAGCAGCGGGGCGTGGGCCCCCAGCGCGCTGAGTGCTGCACTGGAGCCCGGCAGCTTATTAACTGTGGGGTTTCCGCCGCTGGGGGGCCCCCAAGGGGGGCCCCCCTGGGGGCCCCCTTGGGGCAGCCGCAGCAGCAAGGGGGGGGCCCCCCTGGCGGACAGCAGCAAGCAGCAGCTGTGTCTGGACCTGCTGCTGTCGCTGGCGCGGCACAGCAGCAGCAGCAGCAGCAGCCAGCAGCAGCTGGACGGCGTGGCCTTCCGGCTGCACTTCGGGTGTATGTCCAGGGGCCCCCTAAACCCCACAGAACTCGAATTCTACTGCCAGCTGCTGGGGCCCCTGCTGCAGCAAGTTGGGGGGCCCCCCATAACAGATGCTGCAGTGAAGGGGGCCCTAAGGCGGCACCCGCAGCTGGTGGGAGACACAATTCGCAAGCTCGAAGCAGCAGCAGCAGCAGCGCAGCAGCAGCAGCAGCAGCAGCAGCTGCACCTGCAGCAGCAGCAGCAGCAGCTCGCTCACCTGCAGCAGCACCAGCACGTCCAGATGCAGCAGCACCAACTGCAGCAGCAGCACACGCTGCAGCAACAGCAGCCGCACCAGACGCTGCACCAACGGCAGCAGCAGCACGCGCTGCACCAACAGCAGCAGACGCTGCAGACGCTGCAGCAGGCGCCGCAGCAGCAGATGCTGCAGCAACACACCGGTAGTGACAAGAGAGAGTCCCTGCTGCCGGAAGAGCCCCAGGCAGCAGCAGCAGCAGCTGCTGCTGCTGCAGCAACTGCAGCAACTGCAGCAACTGCAGCAACTGCAGCAACAAGGGCAGCAGCAGCAGCAACTAGTGCTGCTGCTGCCACAATGCTGCCGTTTTGCGCACCATCAGAAACAGCCGCCACTGCAGCACATGAAAGACTGCAGCTTCAGAGCAGCAGCAGCAGCAGCAGCAGCAGCGGCAGCCGTAGCAGCAGCATCGATGAGGATTTGGCGCAGCAGAGCAGCGGGACCCTCTTAGTGTCTGACACCCCACCAAATGAAAGTCAGAAACAGGCAGCAGCAGCAGCAGCAACAGCAGCAAGACCAATAGTAGCAGCAGATGCAGCAGCAGCAGATGCAGCAGCAGCTGGAAGTCTCGAGCAGGGCCGCAGCAGCAGCACTCCTTCAGTTCCTGCTGCTGCAGCAGTGGAGCAGACAGCCACGGAGCCTACAGCAGCAGAAGCAGCAGCAGCAGCAACAGCAGCAGCAGGGGCATTGGCTTCCCCAGGGGCCCCCCAGCAGCTCAATGATGTAGGGACAACAGGGGGGCCCCCAGGGGCCCCCCAAACAGTCACTGGGGGGGCCCCCCAAGCAGCAGGGACGCCCCTGGCAGCAGGGGCCCCTCCAGCAGCAGCAGAGGGGCCCCCAGCAGCAGCAGGGGGGGCCCCAGCAGCAGCAGGGGGGCCCCCAGCAG